GTTGCAGAAATGTTATTTGGAAACAATAATCTTCTGTTAATTTGTAAATTAAACTTCATCAGCAACTAATATGTGTTGTTTGATTGAATATATGAGAGAAATAAAACGTTAAGACAAAGTTCTTAACAAAATTCGTAAAATCCCATAAGAACTTTCTCTCCTTTCCTCTTTCATTTTCTATCAAACCAAATATGGCCTAAAATCAAAGAAAACAAAGTTTGTTATTAAATTTATAAGAATGCATTTTTAAGTGTTTATAAACTAACAATTGGATATGACACTAAACATAATGGAATGGCGAAACAAGATTCATATAACCGACTCCAAATAATTGTGATAAGAAAATAATGATGATGATGATTTTTTTTTTTGTCTCTCTAGAAGATTTGGTGGCAAAGATTTTAATGTGAGCTTCATTATGTTAAGGGAAAATCTATGGTGCTGGAAAGACATGTGATAATGGAAGAGTTTTGACCTATCAAAGCACCTCATGAATTTTAAAGAATATCACCTGATTGATAGTCTCTTTTATGATACCATTTGATTGATACTAAGTTTTTTCTGATATCATGTCTTCCCGGTATTATAATCAAATCAATTTGTTAAAAGAAAGAATTTTTTTAGGCACTTATTTGCATGTGAGGTTCAAAGTATCAATACACCCGATGTACCCGATATTTTAGGTAATTGATACAATATTTTTTATTTTTTAATTTCATATTTTCATAGAGGATTTATAATATATACTTTTATTTAACACTAGTAAACATGCACATGCTTTGCATATGGCAATTCCATATAATGGTAATGATAGTAATAATGTGTTCACATTTTTTTATAAATCTGAATTTTTTATTATTAATTGAATGCAAACCGCAAAATTGAAATCTAATTACATAAACACCTCATCCAAATATGTGATAATTGGATCGAGTTGTAAAGTTTCAAGTATCATTCATAGGCTTACCTGCTTCACTAGATTCTTCTTTTTGTAATGTTTTATCCTTTTGGTGTATTTTTTTTTAGTACATTTATAAAAAACAATTAAGATTTAAATATATAAGGGAATGATATGAACAGTAGTAGTTCAATTTACAATTTAAACGTCACAATTAAATAGAGACTAAATCCAAAATTCAGTATTTTATTCAAAAGAAAGTTCTACAATATTCTTCATATTTTTAATAATAGTGTAAATATATAATTATAAATGTTATATATATATATATTGTATTTCTGTGTGTAGAAATAAATTTGATATGTCATACTTACTTTTTGTTTAATATGGTAATTATATGATATTATACATGTGCCTGAATGTTTTTTCTATTTGCAAAATTTATGTATTTTTTCATTTTTGTATTTTTATATTTTATTAATTTTATTATTTATTTGTGACATTAAATGTTAACACATTTGACCCAAAAGTTGAACTATTGATTTTTACTAAATAGTAAAATAATTTCATTTTTGGTCAGTTCTAAATTATGTATTCATTTTCATTATCAATAAAAATAATTTTTGTTTATTACACATTTTTTTAATTTGATTAATAAAAATATCATAAATGTGTAATTTTTTTATATATTTATTTCTATTTTAAAAATTTTATTACCTAACTATGACTTCATAGATTGATCAATTTGATTAGGATGGTTGAATTTCTTAGCCACCACTTTGACAAAGAATGGTTTTATTTTTGAGTTAGTTTTAAAATATATGGGCTTATGTTGTTAAAATATTGACATATATATAATTAGTAGCATTTATTAGTAAAAAATAATTTAAATATAGGATTTAATAAACGAAAATGAAAATTAATAATTTAAGTATAACACTTAATGAGAGGGGATTAAATGAGGTGGAAAGTAATAATTGAAGTTACATTTACAACATTTACCATTAAAGATGAACTAAATACACAATTATGAGCATTTTAGTAGTCATAAAAGCTTATATTAAAACTGTAATAAAATGACCTTTATACCCTTTCTCAAACAAAGAAGTAAAGAGTAATTTTAGTCCAAAAAAAGTTTCACATTGCATTCATATTTTTATATAATATAGATATAGATTTAAAAGCATTATAATCTTGTCAAAAAAAGTTTTACATTATATTTACACTTTTTATACTTTGAACTTTATTTGTATGCTTGATTGTTTGAAAATAAAGCAAAAAAATAATTAATCAGGGTAGATGAACTGAATTTAGTGGTGGAGCCACTAGTGATGCAATCTATTCACATACTTAATTGGATCGATGTTCACCTAAATGGATAAAAACATTGAATCAGGCGCCTGTCGAATCTGCCATGCCAAGTTGGTTAACCCGATCATTTTGAAAATTTGGATTCAAGTTAAGAAATAAGCCATCCAACTTCAATTTTCTATTTATGGGGCCTAATGACATCATTGGATTGACCCAGATAAAGTATCTGGATTTGTGTGGATACTTTTTCTTTTTCTAATTTTATTGTTTTGTTGAAATGTGTCTGGATACTCGCCACATAGACCTAGTTCTCTTTTAGACCCTTCAGGCTTTGTCATCGAGGATTTGTGATGATTTCTAACCTTAGGGTCCATTTGTGATGATTTGTTTGAATTTGATTGGACAAAATTGGAATCTAATTCATATTCTTAGTGGAATGGCAATCTCCCACTTGAGGAAATGGTCATTTAATTTCTTATCATCTCTCATTTGAGTATGAAAAACCCATTTTAATTAATTTCAATTCATGTTTGAATCAAATAAAGAGCATTCCGATTCTGACTGCATTCTTGATGCATTATGTGTTGCTCAACCCTAGTGCTCAGTGTTATTTGTTTGTTCTTCATCAAGTTTGATGGTTACCTATGTTGGTTTCTTCTCGGATCATGTTTAGACCCGGCTTGATGTTATTTTTTCTTGCAAATTGTGACTTAAAAAAGAAAAATCAAAGAAGGGGAGAATAATCACCAACTTGGGCATGGTAGATAAAACCATGCATAGAAGTGGTCAAACTGAAGAGTCAACGTGGCCAGTTAATTAATTCATTCAATCACAAATAAAAATTAAATGAATATTTGATTATTGTTAATATTTTATATTTAGGGCCAAATAGGCCAAAAGTAGCTAGGCTTGATTTTACCGAGATGCATGAGAGTTTCTCTGTTTAACTTGCCCAATTCTTGTCAATGGAGCTACAGGGGTCGAGACTGTAGCAGTCTGGTCTTGGCACATGGCCAACTAAGGAACTTGTCCAGTCATTAATCATCTCAGTCAATTATGGACGCAGGGATCTAACCTGCAGAGATGCCACGCTGGCTTTGTTATTGCTCTCTTCAATCTCCTCTCCCATCTCTTTATTCCATTCCACTTGGCTTTTCTTTCTACATTTTTATATCTATAATTATAATTAGTAGTAAGGCTTAATTTGAAAGGAATACAAATATAAATATAAAAACATAAGGTTTTACATTTTACAGGTAAACCTATGTCAGAGGATAGCCCTTATTCTATATATCTAATTCAAAGGTATCGTCATCGTCGGACTGTATCAATACTTTGAACCCTAACTGGTACATGGTAATAATCTGTTACACACTTGCTATATTATCATTCCAGTCTTTGTCTTTTATTGAGGTTCCGAATTCTCAGCACTTGATGGAAAGCAGTTTTAGGGGATGCACTTGAATATTCTTTCTCGAAAACCAAGACAAATGCCATCACTCGTCAAACCAACCATAACATCCGAGTCAATGCCAATGCCATTTGGACGAGATCACATTAGCACATCTCAGCGTGCATTGGATACTTCTCCCATATTTGTCATGTGAATTTTATTTGGGCTGGTCTAGTTCACACTTCACAATATAAGTTAGGGAGAGAGAGATTTGGTGAAATTGTTAGGAGGTGCAGAGTGAAGAAATCTGAGAAGTTGGGCTTGGACAAAGATTCATTGCTTCTAACCAATAATTTAGATTTGCACCTCATGAGGATTGAGGAAGAATCCCACATTAATACATCCCTGCGGTGTATTAGGAACATCTTCCGATGATATCATCATTTTTAATATTATCATCATCTAGAAATGTACGCCCCACACAGATGTGAAATCTCTAAGCAGTATGGAGTCTTTGCCTCGTTCCCTCTCATTTTCTTCCGATGCGTGTCCCTTGTTCCTACTAAAGTATGTATCATCCTTCCACGCGGATTCAATGTACTTTCCAATTCAGTGTCCATCACATGCAAACCAAAACACCATGAATGAATGAATGGATTGAGCAACTTACAGTTTACAGAGCCGTGTAGGTGCAGGGTATAGGCCCTTCACCTTTGAGTTCCTTTTCCCTTTTATATGGGCCCCCCACCTTACTCTTCCCCCATCAGTAAATGAGATCCTTACAATCGTACGATCCTGTTGAATTGGACGACCAAGATCTCACTCTCAAGTCACCTTTAATTAATTAACTCTGTAATATTCTACAACTAAACGAACGAGGCCATAAATTAGTTAACTCACAAAACGACAAAGTTGTTAGGATGGAGTAGGGGGTCTCGTATATCAAAACCAAGCAAATAAAGAATGACAGAAAGCCAAGGAGAAGCGTGTGGACAGTTAATTAAACCCATTTAATTAATCAAAATCAAATTGCTTAATTACACGTTAAGCACGAGTTGCACCATCAACTAAAGTCTAAAGTCTAAACCCACTACTTGGGCCGAGACCCGAGCAATGGGTAATGGTAATGGGCATCCAATCAATCCAACCCACTTCATAAGCAGGCACAAATGCCCCATAGAGCAGAAGAATAAAGAAGCTTTTTATTTTTTTATTTTTAAATATTTCTAGCTTGGAAAAAGACAAATGCGGCGGTTTCAGTTCAGGTTTACCGGTATTTGGTGTTAAGGAGTAGGTGGAGGAATAACCGGGAAAAGCGGTTTCAGGGATGGATTCATTGCATTTGGAACTGGGGAGGATTGGGTTTAATGCATCTGAAGATGACACCTTAGAAATATAAAGATTATAAGGTGGAGACTGGAGAGGGGGAGAGAAGTGGCTAAGCCATACTCGACAACACAAACACGCATTTCCATTTTTTCTCATTTTTTTTGCCCTGGGTTTCTGATGAGCACCGGCGTTCCGTTTCTGTAATGCATTCCACTTTTGAAGCTCTTTACTTGGTTATTTCCGTCTTGTTCTTCGTCGGTATCGGTACCTTTGTTTTCGCCTCCGATCGAGGTGCTTTCGGCGGGAATCAGTGCGGATTCGGCTCTCCGGCGGATCTTCTGCTCCACTCATGCGGACTCTCGTCAACTACGCTGGTGAGCTTCGTATTTCTTGCTGAAAATGGATTTTATTTGTAGTTGCATTGATAGCTGTTGTATGGTGGGATAGCCGAGAAGAGGTTGGTGTTGGGTTTGCATGTGCTGTGGTTTTCGGGATTTGGTTCATAGATCAGATCGTTTTGGGGATGTTGTGATTGGTTTTAGGGCGTTGCTTGTGCATCGGTTTTGTTGTTTGCTGCCTTTCTCTTTGTTATGGTTAAGGTTTTCGCTTATGATCTCTATCAAATTTTGGTTCTGTATGTGGATTTATGAAACTGGGAGTTGATGCATGTATCTATCAAATCATGAGATTGAAAGGGGTCTTCCTGCTATGGCTGTTCTGGTTATGATAGAATCTCAGTCTTTTTTATGGTTTTCTGTGTCGAGGTTCAGGCGGTTTCTTCAGAGCTTTAACTTGATCGTGTCAAGCATCAATTACTGCATAGAATTATCACAATTTTATCTTCTATTAAGATAATTCTTTACTTAAAAATATTCTTTCCCTTTCCTGTTATTTTTCAAAAGAAATTTCCTTTGGTCTTTTTCATATGAACTGCCTGGTTTAATCTGTATTCTGAAGGAAATTTTATCTGAGTCTTTTCATATGTTTTTGGATTCAGGAGACGAGGATTTTTGCTCCGGGGGTTCTTTATATGCCAATCCTATGGATTCTAGTCTCTTGCTATCTCTTGGCCCTCATGTCGATGTTTACTGCCCTCCTCGCAAGAGGTCTCGCATCACTGCTCCTTTTGTTTTCAGAGGGGATAAGTTTGAGCAGAAGAAGCAGTCGTCTATTGAAGTTCTTCCCGATGAGTGCCTCTTTGAGATCTTTAGACGGTTACCTGGAGGCCAGGAGAGAAGTATCTGTGCTTGCGTTTCAAAGCGATGGCTCTTTCTTCTAAGCAGCATCAGAAGGACTGAAGTCTATGGCATCGAAACTACACAACCTGCAAAACATGAGGGAGAGTTAGTTTCAGATAAGACTGATGAGTTTTCAAAACTTGTTAAGGAGGAGCCTGCTTCAGTTTCTAGTGATGTGGCTTCTGTGGGTGAAGATTTGGAAGTTGAGAGTGAGGGATACTTCACCAGGTCTTTGGGAGGGAAGAAAGCCACTGATATCAGACTTGCTGCTATTGCTGTTGGAACTGGTAGCCGTGGTGGGCTTGGTAAGCTTTTGATCCGGGGAAGCAACAGCATTCGTGGGGTTACTGACAATGGTCTTACAGCCATTGCTCGTGGCTGCCCTTCACTCAGAGTTCTCTCTCTGTGGAATGTTTCTTCCGTCGGGGATAAAGGACTATCTGATATTGCTAGTGGGTGCCACATGTTAGAGAAGCTCGATCTCTGCCAGTGTTCTTCAATTTCTGATAAGGGTTTGATGGCAATTGCAGAGAACTGCCCCAATTTGGCTGCGTTGACAATAGAATGTTGTTCTAAGATTGGGAATGGGACTCTGCAAGCAATTGGTCAATACTGCCCGAATCTGCAGTCCATCTCAATTAAGGACTGCCCACTTATTGGAGATCAAGGAATTGCCAACCTCTTATCTTCAGCTTCTCACGTCTTGACAAAAGTGAAGCTCCAAGCTTTAAACATCACTGATGTCTCTCTTGCTGTTGTTGGCCACTATGGCAAGGCTGTTACTGAACTAGTCCTCACTGGCTTACAAAACGTTAGTGAGAGGGGCTTCTGGGTCATGGGCAACACTCATGGTCTACTAAAGCTGAAGTCGATTACAATTAGCTCTTGCAGAGGTGTAACGGATCTAGGCCTTCAAGCTGTGGGAAAGGGTTGCCCTGACCTGAAGCAACTGATCCTTCGTAAATGTTCATTTGTGTCTGATAATGGGTTGGTAGATTTTGCCAGAGCTGCAGCATCTCTGGAGAACTTACAATTGGAAGAGTGCAATAGGATCACCCAATCTGGGGTTCTGGGTGCCATTTCAAACTGTGGATCGAAGTTGAAGGCACTTGCCTTTGTAAAGTGCATGGGTATCAAGGATATGGTTTTGGAGCTACCAATGCTCTCTCCTTGTGATTCTTTACGATCTTTGTCCATTCGTAACTGCCCTGGATTTGGCAGTTCTAGCTTGGCTGTGGTGGGGAAGTTGTGCCCTCGGCTGCAAAACATAGAGCTGAGTGGGCTTTGTGGAATTACAGATGCTGGGTTGCTACCTCTTGTTGAGAATTGTGAACCGGGTCTTGTGAAAGTAAACCTCAGTGGCTGCTTGAATTTGACAGATGCAGTGGTTACAACCATGGCAAAACATCATGGTGGAACTCTCCAGCTTCTGAATCTAGATGGTTGCAGGAAGATCACTGATGCTAGCTTAATTGCAATTGCAAACAACTGCTCTGTACTTCGTGACCTTGACATCTCTAAGTGTGTGATCACCGACTTGGGCGTTGCTGCTATGTCATCTGCAAATTTGCTTGACTTGCAGATTCTTTCCTTGTCAGGTTGCTATCAGGTATCCGATAAGAGCATGCCCTTCCTCAAAAGCCTGGGTCAGAATCTGGTGGGTTTGAATCTCCAGCAATGCAATTCAATCAGCAGCAGCACCATTGAGCTACTCATGGAACATCTGTGGAGATGCGACATCCTTTCCTGAAACTGGGAAGGAAATGGAACACCCCATTTTGAAGTTAAAAGACAGGCGAAAATGGTGGGGGTTTGGTTGCATTTTTATGTTCAGATATCCAGTATCACTTTACAGACGGTAGAAGCAGCAGCAATATTCCTCGTAGTTTTTGGGCTCTAATCAGTGGGCCTTCTGGTATAACAAGGGACTCAGGTTGTTTTCCAGGGATGATTACCAATTTACCTTCTTTTTTGCAGGTTTCCTCCTAATAGGAAATCTGTTGCCAAGTGTTTTGTCCCCCATTGTTGGGACGCCACATCTTCTATGGTCATGGTTCCCTGAGAATACAGTTACCGGGTCCTGGGCTTAGGGTTTCAGACTTGCAGGTGTAGTAGTTTGTTTTGTTTGTTGGGTCATGGTTTTGTATTGCCGGGTGATGTCACCTGGTGTTTTAGCATAGCCTCTCGTTCATGGTCATGTGGGTTTGCGTGGGCTAAGCTTTCTCTTGTTCAGGTCTTTACTTACTACTAGCCATATTTTCAGTCTGTCGATGTTGGTTTTACCGAGTCTACCACATGTTTGAACCAAGTGTTCTACGTGATGGTTGGGTCTCTGTTTTCCTTTTTAGTGCGTCGGTCGACGGTCGTGTCATGGGTTGTTGCTTTTGGCAGTTCCAGGTTTAGCGCCTCAGATTCGTGGGCTTTGGCCGTGGCAGCAGTTCTTTCATTCTGCCATGACGACCCTTTCATGGGTTTTGTTTTTTTTCTTCCAAGGCCCTAGTTTTTCAGGCTAATCTTGTCATGAACTGTACTCTGCAACTTTTTTATTGTAATGAAATGGATATTTGCTTTTTCTGTTTTTGTAATTCTTTGATCCCTGAATGATTAATTGATTATGTTTTTGTTTACACTTTACACCTCGCACTAAGCAGCGAACAAACAAATCTCGAAGGTTATCAAAAAAAATAAAAAATAAAAAGGCTCGAAGATTGAACGAGGAATACGAAATTCAGGTTGATGATCAGGGAACAATTAGATTTTAAGCCACTCCTCCCATCTTTGTAAGATGAAGATGTTCAGGTTCGACAGATAAAAAGAAAAGGGATTAACTTGGGCCTCGTTTGATGTGTCTTTTTGTGCGGTTTGTTGGATTTTTAAAAGTCTCGCACGTTGCGTTTGTCTTTTTTCGTTTTGTTTGGAAAAAAATCCAACATAGCCCCAAAAAGATGCAAAAAATCCATTTTGAATTATTTTTAGGAAGTTGCAAATAGAGCTTTTTACATTTTTTTTCAATTTGTCTTTATGCAGAAAGATGCGCCTTAATCAAACGGTTCTTAAGCTGATGAGATCTTGATGCAAAATTTTACATCGTCTTTTGACCGTCAAAATTTTAAAAAAACCTTTTAAAAAAAATTACCAAATAACCCTTTCTGTTTTTAAACTTCTGATTTTTTTTTTTATTTGAGAAAGTTTCTAAAGAAATTCCGACTGACTTAACTAGTAATGGATTAATAAGGCTTTAGAGGTTGGGTTGGGTTTTACTTTTACTGCTCACCTCATCTAGCACCAGCTTATGTTGTTATGCAAGTTAACAATTGGCTAAAATTAACACGAGTAATTCACAATTTCCGGTATTTGCTAATTTTCCTAATAAAATAATAATAAAACAGAAATGTCAATCAATATCATGGAGTTTTAAGTGCTTTCAGAGGATCGTATGTGTTCCTGGATATTCCAACCATGCTAATAGGTTGTAACTAGATAATTAAGCTTCTTTGTTGTTCCTATTCAATTCAACTTGTTTCTAGTTTGAGCAATACAATTGTGAAGAAAAAAGAAAAGCATATACCGGCTTTAATGCCAAGAGAATCTATAAATATTGTTAATGCAATCAGATATGGCAGATTTTCAAGGTGTTTTGAACAGGAAGTGCAATGAAACATCTGCAAGTAATATATATTTAAAAAACAACACTCCTGATCATCATCATCATAAAAATAAAAATATTTTGTTTTCATTTGTTTGTGAAATTACCACATCAGCATAAAAACAAAAATATTTTTTTATATACTTTTTTGTTTTCATCATTATCAAGCACATCCATGCCTTATCTCATGCAGGTTGATTACATGAATCCCATTTAGTCAGTCCATTGTATTTAAAGTCATATCCACTCTAAATTATTAGTAGTTAAATCATTCCTTACTTCTTCTAAGTCTATTCCTAATTCTTCTAACCCCTTTCATTTGTAACAAACCATTTCTAATTGGGGTTGGTGGTCTTGTATACATGTGACCAAACCATTTTAGTTTATTCTTTCATTTTTTCATTTTTATTCTTATTCTTTTTTATTTTCTCACTCATTTATTTTAACATTTGCATTTCTACAACATTTATTTTCTAAACATATTTGATGAGGGCAGATTTGACCCTCCAATGAAATTGCGACACGTGGCACCTCGTGACAACTAGGCAAACACCCAGGCAACAACTTACCAAGTTGGTGTCCCCCCGGGCACCGGTCTGGCTGGCCTGGCGCGGCCT